ATATATATATATATATATATATATATATATATATATACTAGGTCCAATTATCTTCCGTCATCTTTCAAAGACAGATTCCTGGGATCATTTAAAGACAATTTTTTCTCAGCGAAAATGTCAATGAAGGCCATCATTTTTTGCATGTTCCCGATTTTTATCATCATATATCTTTGCAATTACGTTTTAAATTAAAATTCAACTAAAGTAAACTCTATTTAAAATTAGTCGAAGAATGTGGCTTTGATAATATTTTATTTCTACAAAGCTTAGTTTACGAAAAGCCCCTTATTTCCAATCACTTATAATTCGAAAATTATTAGTGGTTCGACATTTTCGTTGAGAAAAAAGCGTCTTCAGATGATCCCAGGAATCTGTCTTTAAAAAATGACGGAGATAACTGGGACACCCTGTATATATATATATATATATATATATATATATATATATAAAATTATCACAACATAAAATTGTTAATTATATTTTGTTTAATTTAATTAAATATGTAATTAATTACATAATTAATCATATGATTTATAATTTTTATATAAATATTTGATGCTACAGTTTAAATTATAATTTAAAAGGAATGGCCAAACATGATTACCTTTTAAAAGATAAATGTACATATAAATTGAAAATATACCTTGATTATTTAATGACATTAAAAATAAAAAATATTGGAAATGGTAATAATAAAGATAATAAAGTATGAAAGAGATGGTATAAGTTTAAACAAAAATAAATTTAATTTAAATAAAAATAGTAATTATAGTAGTATAGGGTATTACTTACTTGTCCTTTACATATATACGGATACTCTGCCAAAATATCTCTTCAGTAATCAATTTTTGTAATTTGCGCAATATACTGGATACTATAATTATATAATTTACATCAGAATATGAATAAGATAATAGTTATAGTAAATAATAATTTATAATTATGGTAAAAGTGCATAAAACGTTACACATCACCGATTTTATCATCATTTCAATGTGTTATAGAGGAAGTTATCCTGAGTAATTCCGCGCAAAAAAATAAACGAGAAGCGACATTGGTTAAAAAGATATATGCTAAAGTTAAAGTTGACGATTTTAATACTTTTCTTAAGCAAACTGATATTAAACACATTAATTTGCAATTGAAAATTACATATTTTTTCTTAAAAACAACTATGTTTTTTCTTTGAAAGACCAATTGATTCATCTCATTATTTAATACATAAAATTATTAAGGTAAGATAATCGAAAAATAAATATTTTACTAGATATTTTATAGCTTATGTAAAATTAAGATAAAACTTGAAAAGTACTCAATAAAAAAATACTTTATTATAGCGTTTTGAAAAGCTCTCGAGATAATCTACAAGAATATGTAATAAAAAAATAGAGATTTTCATGTAAAAAAGTATTAATGACCTTGATCTGACTTTGACAAGGTCAAGTCTATATTTTCATCATGTGTACCCCTTCAAGCTACACTTCAAGCTACGCAACTTTCGTTTGAAAAATTTTTCAATAAAATCATTGGTTCGCGAAATAATCGACTATATCATTTAAAAAGAAACATCCTGTATATGTAATATATTTTATATATAATTTTATATATTACAGCCTTATTATGTATATATGTGTATAATGAAGAGATTATACAGGGTGTCAGAAACATTTTTGCAGCCCCGAAGTGTGAAGGTAAATTAGCTCAAATTAAAAAGAAAGATACTATACTATTTTGCGATATTTGCAATAATTAACGAAAAATTAATTAAAGAAGATCGGCCAATGCGCGTAGCTAGAAGTGCTTGGCGGTGAAGACGGTCTCACTGTAATATAATAGCGGCGCGCGGCAAAACAATGATTGAGGAAGGGAGAAACGATGAGTGTGTAGGCGCGCGGCGAAGGCTCTTCCCTTCCCCAATCACTGCTGTTTCTAACATCCTGTATATAAAAAATTAAAATTTTTATCAGTTATTTTATTTGTTTTTTAAGCATTTATTTTCAAAAATTTACTCAATCAATTTTTATTTATATTATCATACCTTTAATGTAACTGTAATGTTCAAAAGAAATGTTGAATGATGTATTATAAAGTGATGTATTATATTTAGTATCGAAATGAAGGGATTCTTGTTGACTTTGTACCACAAACAAGTCCATCATCCGGGTACTTGGGAGAGTCTATAAAAAATAGTTTAAATGTATTTACTTATTATAATTAATATTAGATTTAACACGCAATAGCAATATGCATTAGAGCTGTTACTTTCTACGTGTATGTAAAAATATCTCTTATACTCTTATACTCTTAAAATATAGAATAAATAATTTAAAAATATAAAATATTAATTTAATAACAAAAGTGATTACTCAACATATAACTTTAAAATTAATATTTTTAGAAATTAAAAAAGTAATTTAATGTCGCTGGTCAATAATCCAAGGATCGTTGAAAAAAGGTATAGTCGACCAAACTAGCCAGAAATTTTGTTTATTAATACGACGTTTCGACCATATGGTTGTGGTCCTTATCAAGTATATACTAGAAAGATTTATAAATAAGTTAAACAATTAAATTTACGGTTTGAATAATATAACAAGCACAACGAAATAAAGTCTGAACAATTTACCGATGTAATAATAATCAGGAGACAGGCATAGACGATAATCTTGCAAAAAACTGCACAAGTCACATTAACAAAAAACGTTATTTAACTAGATTCGAATTTGAGAGAAACTGATGCGTCCGTGTGAGACTTTGTCAAGAAACTAAACGTTTAGTTTAGTTAGTGATTATTATTACATCGGTAAATTGTTCAGACTTTATTTCGTTGTGCTTGTTATATTATTCAAACCGTAAATTTAATTGTTTAACTTATTTATAAATCTTTCTAGTATATACTTGATAAGGACCACAACCATATGGTCGAAACGTCGTATTAATAAACAAAATTTCTGGCAAGTTTGGTCGACTATACCTTTTTCAACGATCCTTAATATTTTTAGAATTATTAAAATATACTATATTATATAGCAAAATTATCTTATTACACAATTTCTACATGTATACATATATTATGTGGAATCTGAATGATAATTTTTCTTTTTTTATATACAATATTTTAAAGTCGGACAAATGTAACATAGTGACTTTGATACACACACACAAAATAAAAGAAACATAAAAATGTAAAAATATTTTAAATTATCTATGTATGTTGCATTTACTTGAAAATTAGCATTTTTAAAAAACTCATTTTTCTTTGTAAATATGGAATCTTTGTCTAATATTGTGATTTATAAAAAAAATTGCTCGCTATAATGATAAACATTTAACTTTACACAGCCGCAAATAGCTTGACCTTGACATATATTGTCAAAGTCACTGCACTGACAAGGAAAGGTACCCAACTGTCACTCACGGATTCTAATGAAATTTTGTACACTTGTAAAACTATGCAAAATAATAGACACGTATTTTTTTATCTGCGGAGAAGATATCATATTGTTATGTATATACCTATATATATATATATATATATATATATATATATATATATATAATATTGTTTGCTAGTGAATAAAGTTTGCGCTAAAGAATGATTAAAATAACCTGATTGGTGACATATAATCCAAAAAATGCGACAATAGCTTCATTTAACAAAGACGATAATGACCAAAGTGGATTTTCATAATAAAAACATTCTTGTATTATTTTATGGGCTATGAAACGGGCAACTTTGATTTTAGTCGCAACAGAATCTACATTGTCATTGTAAATAATATCTGCTTCTCTGAAAATTACAAAAAATGTTTTGTATAATGATTATTTCCAAATTTATAATTAAATGATTCTATAAAATTAACATATTAATTATTTAGTATTAAATCCTTTATTTCTAATGCTCATTACGAAGTAATGAAATATATTGGAAGCGAGTATCGCACTATATATATACATAACTTTTCAAAAATTTTGATCGATAAAAGTGAAAACCTTAATATAATACTTTTACCTATTCTTATACCTTAATATAATTAATTAATTTGCAATTTTATATTTTAATTTGTAATTTTAAGATTATAAAATATATATATTTTAATATTATTCTTCATTCTAATATTATTCTATAAGTTGATGTACATTGAAGATAGATTGTCCAGAAAGTTATTGTGATTTTTAACCTCTAAGTTTAAATACGTACATTTTAGCAAGTGAACTTTAGCAAATGAAAAGAGAACTATTGAAATTTAAATATTTTTGCCAACGAGAAACAATATTTATTTATTCCTGTAGCATAAAATTTAGATTTCGAGAAACGATAAATTCTTGGAAAACGTTTCTGACAGTAGCTTTATTGTTAAAGGTTTTCCTCTGCAAGAAATTATCGAAATGTTTAAAGAAGTGATAGTCAGTTGGAGAAGACCGGCGAATAAGATGGGTGAGACAGAGTTTCATGGAGCTTCATAACTTAATTGATTAATGCAGCGTCGGCGTGTAGTCGATCATTATCGTGTAGAACAATTGGAACTTTTCTGTTGACCAACACCGAATGCAAACGTGTCAGTTCCTGATGGATTTTGCCAATTTCTTGACAGTACCTCTCTGCCGTAATAATTCCGAATTTAAAAAGTTGTAGTGAATTATAACGGCTGACGACTACTAAATAGTCAGTATAATCTTCTTTAATACAATTTTAGTTTCGGAGAGTGTTTTGGCGCTCCATCATGATTCAACCATCGTGCAAAACGTCGACGATTATCATACAAGATCCATTTTTCATCGCACATTACAATGCGATCGAGAAACGGATTATTTTGTTTGTGCAAAATCAATGCAGAACACTCCTCAAAGTGACGATTCTTTTGATTTGCGCTCAATTGATGCGCCATCCATTTGTCGAGCTTTTTTGTTTTTCCAATTGGTTTTAGATAATCAAAAACAGCTGACTTGCTTACACCAAGTTTTTCCGCTAGTTCTGGAATCTCAAATCGATGTGCCTGACTCTGTTTCAGCTAACACATTCAAGTGGTCGTCGTCAATAATCGCAGTCGTCTAGAACTTTTCAACTTCAAGGCTCTCATGTCCACTGAAATTTACAGAAACCACCATTGCATTGTACGTTCATTAGCGGTTCCTGGACCAAATGCATCGTTAATATTGAATGTCTTCAGCTGCTTTATGCCTCATTTTGAATTCATATAAAAAATCGCTAAAATTTGCTACTTTTTTATTCTTAATTTCATAGCTTAAATTTAATGCAAACCAATATCAAAATTTTTATTAAAATGTAGAGCGAAGTTTGCGCTTTTAAATTGATATAACATAGATACAAAAAAAAGACGTCATAAAAAAGTGCCAAATTATAAACAACAAAAATCCCAATAACTTTTTGGACAATAATAAACTGGACTAATAATAAACAATTAGATATGTTGCTCCTCTCATTGCTTCATACAATTTTACTTATTTTTTAAAATATATTCAAATAATATTTTAAAAATAGAGAAAAGATATGTAAATAATTTTAGTTATCAAGAATTGTTATTCTCTTTTTCATCTTCAAAATATATTAATATTTTCTAATTATATAGTTACCTGTAAAGAATAAGGCCTAGATATATGCTTTCGTTTTGAAAATCCGGAAGTGCAATATGATTTATTTCCCAAGTTTTATTCAAACGTTTCCATTTATCGAACAAGTACGATGTTATATGTTCAGCAAATTGGTGTGCAAATTCGCAATGCATTCTACACCACATATTAACTCTGACACTTTTATTTGTACCAGGTGTACGAGATAAATTATTTTGATTAGGCAGAAATAATAGATAAATAGGTTTTACAAGCGTATGAATAAGTGTCATGTTTTTATCATTCCTTTCTATTTTTTGTATCGGTTCATTTGAAATAACTGTATAGTTTTCATAATCTTCGACAATAATTTCATACATGGGCTTCTGAAAGGTGACTCTTAAAGATTCGGGCAAAGACGGAATCATGTGTTGGATTCCAATACGATCGACATACGTTGCCAACCTATCACATTTAGAAATATGAATTAACAGTAATAAAGATACCGCAAAACCTGATGCAAAAGTGGTTTCAATGAAATTGTATAAAAGTTGTATATATTTTAGTTGTGCGGGATTCGTAAAATGTCTATTTTAGTATATACAGGTACAAAATAAATATTTAATAATTAATATTTTAGTATCAAAATTTTAATGCGTTTAATAAAATTAAAATAAATTTCAATATAAAACGGTATTAGGATAATAATTTTTTTTAATTGATTATAACTTTTTTAAATTGATTATAACTTTGTTTAATTGATATATTATCAACGATTTTGTACATAATTTTATACAAGTGAAAGATACTGCCTATTTTAGTGATAGTTTATTAAATGAAACACATATGTATATATGTCTTAGTTATTAACAAAAATAGTATTATTTTTAAATAATATGGGTGTGTGTAAATACATGTTTAAATACATGAAACAGCATAAGTATAGCTTATATATTTAATTGTATGTATTATATGCAGAGTGTTTATGAAAGTTGTATGTGTTCATCATCTAATCAAATTTTGATAATGATTTTTATGGACTATAAGGATAAAAAGAATTCATATAAACATGTATCTGGAAATGTTTCCCTTCTAAACTATAGACTTTTTTAAATTAGAAATGAATTTCCTAAAGTTTTGTATTGTCAAAATAAACAGTGTAAAATTTAAGTATTTGTTCAAAATTTCAAATTTCATATAAGCAACTAGAAAATGTTCGCGAATGAAAACGTCGGTGCGGGAGGCACACGAAAGAATTTGATAAAAGGACCACACAATTGAGAATAAAGACGAGCCACGACACGTAATTTTTTTGGTTTTTATTCAGTTTTATTTTTACGGCACCACACAATTAAATAAAGAAATTAATATTGTCAATGTTGATGACACGCGTTTCTTAAGCGATGAACAAACGAGAGACAATGCGGACGATTGAGTTTTTCTCGAAATAGAGATTTTAAGAAGTTTTTCGATGCCCGTTAGTTTCAAATTCTCGAGCTTTTAGTAGCAAAATACGTGGATTTTTGTCAATGCGAATTTTAAACCAGACTGCATTAAGTAAAATATATGCATATACAATTGTGCACGTTTAAATTTTCGCGAATAATTAATCTTTAAAAAAAATTTACGCACTACCATCCACGGTGGCTCTTAATTGATCTTTTCTTGTGTATCATGTTGTTAATATAAGCAAGTTTTTTATACAAATATAAATCCTTCAAAATTATACTTATATTTTGAAAACAATTCAAAACTCTATCGGAATATTAAATTTTCGAATGTTGGCAATAAAATGCTGTATAAGACGCGTGTTATTGCTGACTACTTTAATTAAATTAATTTTTATTTACATTCATTTTAATAATAATGATAATATTAAATTGCAAAATTTTTTACCAAATAATGATTTAATAAACATGTAATTAAGAATGGAAACATTTCAAATACGTACGTGTCTATATATAAATGTGTTTTTCTTAGAAAATACTTTTTAAATAGAAATAAAGTGATTTATCAGGACTTGATCATAAACGTTGTGAAATTACTATATATTTAACATTTTAACATTTTAAGTTACTTACCATTGTCGCTCATCTCTTTTATAAAAGGTTTTTAGGCCTGTATCTTCAGTTATATTATAAACTAATTTTATGTTGTAATACCCTGGCATTAGAACATTAGGAAATATATATTTGACAATGTTTTTCTCAACATCATACATAGATTTTACCGATGCATAAATGCTCTTTTCTTCATTGTTAGAATAATAATTTGGATAATAAACCACAGTTAGACTAATATTTTTTACGTGTAAATATAATAATATGCTTGATGTTGGATGTATAATATCTGTACGTATAATGCAGTTGCAGACAAGAATATTTTCTTCGATATGTGTAACGATGATATCATAACGATGCGGTAATATATAATTTGAATGCCTGTTTAACTCTTCTTGAGATATTTTAATTATCTGATCGTCGGTTAAAAAAGCCGTCGCGACGATGATAGTTAAACTGCTGCTTAACAATAGTTTAAGAAACATGATACTACTTTTATCTTAGATATCTATAAAAATATATTTTTGTTAGAAAGTACAAACGGACAAATAAACACAGCACTGTCTCTACCATGATTTAATGGAAAAGATGGAATTAAGACAAGTATATAAAAATAAACTTAATTTTGAATAACTTACTCTGTATAATGAGATATACTACAAATTCTAAGCAAGTGTATGTTTCGTTACAATAATTAGCTGCAATAAATTAATGTTTTATCCACTATTATTGAAACATGAAAAATATATATGCCCACTTGTGATTTCTTGTTATTTCGAGAAACTTCCAAAAACTAATAACACTTGGCGATATTACAATAAATGTGTATGCCATATGTAAACACACAACTTCTGAGGTCGTTAACAGACGTTTCGATCGAGAAATGGTATGTAATAACAAAGCACGGTGCCGTTCTTCCCACTCCAAATTTGTGCTAGCGATCGAGCGCCGTAAGATGGCAAAATCGTCTATTTCGCGTTGGTCTGAAGCAAAAGAGGCCGTTACGTAGAATGCAAAATTATCTGTAAATATATATATTTGAATTCTTTTATACTGTTTAAAAGTAATATATTCCTTTACCAAAAATTTAAGAATTTTTATAATTTATAATATACATTCAAATAAAATATTATTATCTATATTATTACGAGTTTATATCAGTAAATTGTCTTTAAGCAAGTTAATGAAAAACGTAACTTATTAACATTAGAGTATAATATTACAGTATCGTATATAAGAGAATATAATGAATAACTATTATTTTTTAGGTTTTTATTCACTCTTTCAAATTTATATGGTAGATATATGAATAAAACAACGGGAAATCTCTCAAATCGATCAAATCATTAATCGTGTTGGTAATGATATGAATTACGTGTAATTAATGAATAAAACGACGGGAAATCTCTCAAATCGATCAAATCAATAATCGTGTTTTTCTCATAACAAAACAGATTTTTAAATTAAAATTAAAGTTTTCTTATAATGTGGAATAAAAATGTTATAGAGATAGCGTGTTCCAAGAATTATGCCATATCATTTATTATTAAATTAAAAATATTAATAGTACATTAATAAAACACATTCGTAAAAAATACTTTTTATAGGATTTAAAATATTAAAAACATTGTATTATGTGTTCTATCATATTACGTGCATAGTATTATATTTTACTTAACAATTCTTTTGTCTGCAAGGAATGTTTACAAATAATTTTGTAAGTTACGACAAATAAAAATCTATAGAATTTAGAATTAGTGATTTTAAAAATAAAATTAGAAACCTATACGAGTTACAGTTATCACAGAGAAAATATCCATATAATGATTGATATATCTAGCAAACTATTGCATTAATTCGTGTTAACCTATCCATCATTATTAAATTTTTGATAAACTAATGACTCGTATAATATTAAAGTATGCGAATCATCATACCACGTAATAAAATGTATTACACTAATGATTAAATATTATTTTTAAAAGCACAGTAAAATCCACGCAGCATATATGCTCGTGTTTACATTCGACATCCGAAGACTTGGAAGGTTAGGTTAGATTAGGCTAGATCGAAAAAGTTATCGTTTGACAGTTGGCATCCCTACAAGATTCCTGTGCAAGCAGTGCACGCGCGCATACAAAATAAACTTCAAATCGCTTCTAGTTTAACCATCTTCACGCGATCGGCTTTATTTAAAATGCATCGCGTCGCATCGAATTATGATGCGGCGCCGATTCGCCCAAACGTAATTCGAGACATCGCAATGCTGTATAAGCGTCGATGAGCACGAATTGTCACGCAAATATGACAAATCAAATCAACTCACCGTTCATCAGCTGCTTCACAGATCGCTCCATTCGCTCGTCTCGGGATATCTCATTTCAATCTTGATGCACACAAACTCACAAAATATCATCAACGCGAACGCGCGACACTTTATTCGGCACTCCCGATACTCGCTCGTATCCGATAATCATCATCAAAGGCGCGAATAACGCGACGCAATTTCGCTCCACCTTCGCGATGACGCCACTGAATACTGTCAAAAACAGCTGTCGCGCGCTTCCATTGATGTATTATGAAAGTCGCGCGATCATCTTTGGATACTCTCAACGGTCGTTCACTCGCGATATTCGTTTGTTTACGGTTAAAAGACGCGAAAAATGCAGATGTACGACGATCCGTGTAACTGCGAATGACTCCGATTCACGTAGGACGAATGCAATGACGTAACTAACATGGCGGCCCAACCGGTGCGCATTCGTTTCTGCGCATGGCCATTAAGCGCTCAACGTTCGCGCTACTTTGATTTCTGAATATTGTCTATGATTTTAATTAATAATAAATATATAAAGATAAAATCAATTAATCGTATTAGTCATATTATGTAGATTTGTTCGAAGAAAGAGAGAAAAAATTGAGATATTTTTAATTTCTTATAGTAAAGAATGAAAATATCTATTCATATTCTTGTTTTTCTTTTCCTCTTTCGCGCGATTTCGATTTAATATATAATGTAGAAAATGCACAGCATATTGGAATTATTTTTGTATATGCACAACTATAATATTCCCGCGGATATTTTTTAACACTTACAATATTCGTATATATACTGTACCTTGTTCTTGATAGTCACTTTTAAAAGAATAAAAAGAAGCGAATATAATCCGTCCGATTTTCACTGCCTGAAAATAACGGCAGTTTGATGTCAGCACGGTTTTTTTCACGATGCGTTTTATTGTAAATTTAAATCAAAGAGAAATAATCGACTAGTAAATTTTAGATTACAATAGAAATGCAAAGAAAGAAAATTATTATATCTAAAATAATAATTTAATTTGAAATATAATCTTTCTTCCCCAATCTTTATTTTCTAATATCTTTATTTCTACTTATGTGCAAACAAAAACGCAATTTGTTTGAAAATGTGCAAACGAAAATCTATGAATTAAGCCTTAGGTTAAGAAAAGAATTTTGCAAAATTTGACAAAATAAAACTAATGAAATTGTCAATAAGCGATCCCGCATATTTATATTTTTATTTATATTATTTATTTTATTAGAGAGACTCAGTCTTTGTCATTTTATACAAAATGTAACAAAGATATATAGATGTATTCGTGTCACAATTGTTACTTTTATTAAACGGTTATTGTTGATATTTGCTGAGTTGCGAAGAGTTAACGCGTTACTTATAATATCGTTACCGTTACTTTTTTTCGGTAACGATCGTTACTTTTTTCTGTCTCTAACGATAACGATAACGTCGTTACATTTTTACAGTAACGGTAACGAATTTAACCGTTACTTTTATCGTTACTTTAATTCTGTAATTCTGGATAGTATCCTCTTAGTAATTGAAAAATCTATTTCTATTACAAAACAGTTTACAAATATTTTAGAAAATTATATACATGCATGATGTTTTCTCTGTATTCATAAATCTAAAATTTCTAAATTACAATAAATGAAAAATTGAATATGAAGAACATCAATGATGGATTAATTTATAATTTTCAAATATATAAAAGTAATAATTATATTTTAAAATAAATTAATTTAATTTTTGTATTATAAAAAATAAAGAAAAAATAACGAATCGTTACTTTCTTAATAATGGTAACGGTAACGAGTTACTCGCATGACGATGTATAACCAAAAACTAAGCATAACCAAAACGGTATCAACTCTTTCGACGCGTTACTTTTTTAAAAAAACGTTTTCCCCCCTGAATATTTCACAAAATTTTGAAAGTAATTCTGTTGACTCTTGATTTCGAAAAAGCGCATTTGTATCTTGCTTTCAATATTTGAAATATATTGCATTTGTATCTTGTTTTCAATATTTGAAATAAATTGCTGTATACATCTGAAATATTCTGCTGATTGTGTTAAGTTGCTTGTCTAAAACAGATTATATCAATATTAAGTATTAGCGTAAATAGCCAATAATTATTAATAAATATTATATTAAATATTATTTGTGTATGTGTGTGTGTGTCTATATATATATATATATATATATATATATATATATATATAATATTAATACATTTACTACATATATATAATACATATAATAATAATAATAATCTTAAATATAATAGGAATAAATAATAATTATGGATTATGAAAATTACAAATTTGCTGAAATGAGAATAAAATCATTCTTCTATTGTACTATGAGTTCTATTATATTATGTGCATTGAGTTGCACTATATTTTACTTAACAACTCTTTTGCTTGCAAGGAATGCTTATAAGTAATACTGTATAAGTAACTTTCAACAAATAAAAATAAAAATTTAGAATTAGAGATTTTTAAAATAAAATTAGAAATTTATATGAGCTGTAGCTGTCACAGAGATAATATCATTATAATATTATAGCATTAAAATTGTTATATCTAGCAAGTGCATTAATTCTTCTTAACTTATTCATCTTTATTAAATTTTCGTAAACAAATGGCTCGTGTAATATTGAAGTATGCGAATTACATTACGTAATACTTTTTGAAATTTAAATTTATTTAAATGTTTTTCAATATTGAGAAATTAAAAGAAATGTTTTTCAATGTTGAGAAATTAAGAGCTAAACATCTAAATTAACTAAGATTTAAATACAATAAGCTGAAGCTTGTAAATTCTCTTTTTAAAATTTATATAAATCTATTTTCACTAAAATTTCCAAGTAAAGAAATTCTCTTTCTTTTTTGCTTTTGCTTACTCGCACACTCTTCTCCACTTTCTCATTTATTAAAAATTACATATTTCCAAAATAATATATTTTCGAAAATTAGAAATAAAACTATGCTTATTTTATAAAAAAAATTAAATAACATTAATTTTTGCTTACTTTGGGATACTGTAACATTAATACATTCTGTATGAAAACAAAAAATTAATGATTAATAAATGAAATATTAGTATAATAATATTCATAAAATTTACCTTTACTTTCATATTTCTTTTCTTTACAAAAAGCGATAACTTCTTACATTCATTTAATTTAACTTGCGTTTCATTAAAAAATTTATTTGTGAAGAAGTCGTTTATCTAAAACAGATTATTTTGATGATATTAAACAGCAATATTTGATGTCGCATCATGGTTATTTATTTTACACACACACACACACACACACACACACACACACACACACACACACACACACACACACACACACACATATATGCATAAGCACATGCAATTTTTACCTTTTGGAGTTGATTTGTGGAATACACATGATTAATAATTACAGTTAATGTTGCATACTCGCTGATTTGTCTATAACAGTAAAATAATAAATTTATTGATACATACATAAATTGTTGAATGATAGATATATATTTACGAAGGAAGCTGTATTACCTAGGTCTTATGTTCTCAAGGTCTTCTAATATGAAGTCGAGTACCACAGGATTCCTCGCGTGCTTCGCGATAGTAA